ATAAAAGGTTGGGGAGTTTAAAAGTTCACAGGGATGTGGGATAAGAGGGCTTTCCATTAGCTCCAAAAAGCTTCATTCTTTGGGTATTTATTTATTTTTCAGGATAGCCCACAGGCTAAAAGTGCACATCTCACTATCAGCTATCAATCTGACAGCTATCAGCTCTCGGATTGATAGCAATCAGCTATCACTATCACTATCAATATATGTGCATTTTTTCAGGTTTTCACATTTTGGTGTATGTAGAATTTCATGCGCATTTGCAAGAATTAAAAAAAAAATGTTAATGTAAATAAAATTAAATATCACATTTCATTTACCATTTCATTATACATTGACTTCAGATCTATGGTTGACTTTTTCTCATATATATATTTTTTTGCACACTTTGGAATGTATTGGATGTACAGCAGTTACATCACCATACACCAAAAGGATTAGGACTAAAGTCAAAGTCATGTGATTAATATGAATGATATACTGTACAATACAGTATATGTTTGAGGTAATTTCTTTTATGTTTTTCACAACAAAAACATATTTTGTGTTAAACATTCTGGGACATTTTCACTTTAATATTTAGCTATATATGCCTTTGAGGCAAAAACCGTATAAAGTCTGCTTTCCACTGAGCTCCCAGCAAACTCTGAGTAATTATTTGAGATGCTTTGCTGCTGTCACTTTTAGTTCGTGTTTTCTTGGAGTTGTCTATTTTTCTGACTTCACTTTTGCCTTCAGCATGAAAATCCTTGATCTGAATGATTGATCCAATGACAGAATTTAAATTCTGGACATTGACACCTTTAATTTCCTGTGGTGAACATCCTGGTTGCATTGGTCGGATGTGTTGTGCTCATGGTGAAGCGCTACCCAAACAGTATGGAAACATTTTCTGCTACATAAGCAGACAAAACGTGCTGTATAAACAACATTGAATTGTGGTGGTACTTGAGATTCATTTGAATTTTTCTGCAGTGAGTGGACCTTTGAACAGAACTGGATGCGTGTTTCCACTTTCATAAATAGACGAAATCAAAAGATTTCTCCTCTCGAGTCTACTTTCTCCTTCAGGCTCATTCGTACGATGTTGACCGTAACCAAGCCAGACCATGTAAACGGTTTTTATTTTTCACAAAATACATTTGCGAGGCAACGTTAGATCCAAGATCTTGAAAACTGCCCTTTTACTTTAAAAATTGTAAGCTGTATTCCGAAACTTTACTTTCAATAACAAATACAGCCTTTCGCCACAGTACAGCAAGTCTGGTGGCTATTTTGTTAAACGTAAACAGGCCTTTATGAGGAAAGAAAGGTACGCGCGTGTATTTTTAAAAGGACCCCATTTGATTTCTCTTAACCTATGTGAATGAACAAAACACGCCGCTAATATCTACAGTCTGTTACAGTTAAGCAGCTGCTGCCGACTAAAAATAAAATCCCGATACACTGGATAGCTTGCATAAATACAGGAAAATGTTCCACTCACATCGACTTTAGCATCGACGTCTTGCGTTCCCAGTTCCGTTACAGATTAATCTGTGCAACGTTAATTTCATTTTATTTTTCAAACTTTTAGTAATTTATTAAGTCATCATTTTTTAAGGTCGGTCATAAATATCACCTTAAAATCGAAAGTGCTACCAGATTGAATACTACCGTACTTGCATATGTTCTGCTAACCTGGACTTGTAGTTCTGCGGTGAACCAGAAGAGGGACCAAGTGAACCCTTGAAGAAAAGCTCTAGACAAAAATCCAGAAAATTAACCAAAAATACAATTATCTTCAATTTTTAGGATTCGGGCTCAGCTTTGTGACAGTTTAATGCTAAATCCTCATATGCAGAATGTGTTTCTCCCTGAGAGCCGTGGATGCCACTCAGCACTAACTCCACACTGAAAATTACTTCAGGTCCCCTCCAGAGTGTGAGCTTGAGATAAAAATGCTTAAAATCTCGTATCGCAGACGAGTTATGATTCAGTGCTCAAATCCACATGAGGATTGCAGTTGCTCACAATCCAGGTTTAAAAAAAAAACTTTGTCCGGGAAACATGAAGTCATGAAGTGTAACAACAGTTAAACTTCTGTAGTGGAATAAAGAGCAAAATGTACTGGTCAGTCAGTACAGTATATACTACAAAACAGGGGCACTTTATATACACTACAGCGCCATTGAAGGGTACTGTCAAAACCATCTTGTTTGTTTGATTAATAGATTATATGAATGACCATCTGGCTGGAGCAGACATTTTCACTGGAAAAGATTACCAGGGTGGTGTATCTGACTACCCCTGATGCTATTTTGGAGATCTGTAATATGGTGAACGTATCCAAGGCTTTGGTTGAACATGACTTGACGGTCGAATGTACCTTTTCTCTTTTTCGGTGCAATTATTTTAGCTCTGTTCTTGGGTTGTATTGGGGATACAATACATCTATGTGTTGTAAATCTGGAGTTTGAAATACAACAAATGCTGTAATTGAACTGTTATACGTAAAGGAAAACAAAAATAAACTGTACTATTTGAATTTCTAACAACAGCATTGTGTAATAATCGTTGGATTTGTGACTGACAGTATATTTGCTTGTCGTATTCAGAATTATTTTTGAGGAAATTTGTAATAAACTGTGAAAACTGTAGCAATTTACTTTAAAGAGTTCATTGAGTCAGAGAGCACTTTTTAAATTCTAACAATACATATTTCACTTCGAGAAGATAAGTAGACGATAAACGTGTTAATATGAATTAATCGAAACGAATGTATTCCATGCTTCTACTGTTCACCTAAACACAGTGGCGGCGGAGTTACGTCACACGGCTTGGCCAATCAGCCGCGGAGAGGCCTGGTGAAGTCCCGCCCCAGGCTGGGGGGCTGTGTTCCATCTCCCGGGAGAACGAGGAGAAGCCATGATGGCGGCGCGCGCGAGAAGAAAAGCGAAATGCAAAGTGCAGGTATATTCGAAACAGCATAAAGGAATTTTATTTAATTTTGAATTATAAAATTAAAAAAAATAAATTCAATATCTCTTATAGGTATCATAAGGTTTTGAAAAATAATTCGCCTTTTTTTTTTTGCTCCCAGCTGTCTACCTTGTAAGGAACACGCGCGTAAAGGTTATTAAATGTATAAAATTAATTTCAAGGTTGCATCCTTATGTCATTTGTACGTTTTACAGTATTAGCTGCCTTTTTTGTTCAGCATTAATTTCTATATCTACAACTAAAAAAAGCTTTCGTTAAATTCGTTTCAGTGGTAGACGAGAATACAATATACTGTTCTTGTGTTTTATATCCCCTGTTTATATATTTATGGGCGGTAAGCCGGAGAATAATCTTAGTAATTATGCGATTTTATTATTTACAGGCACAGAACTTTTCTATACCAATACCTGATATGCAGGCAGATTTACCAATGAACATAAAACGGGGGATATTTTGAAAACCCTCTCCATCCCCACCCCCTGCCCAGACAAGGCAATCGGTATCCTCTTTTTTTGATGTTCAGATATGGTAACCCTATATTTATGTGTTATTAATTTAAGAAGTAGAAACCCCAAATCCGAACTTTTTCTTAAAGATTCATGTTGCGCTGCTATATCCAGCGTCCTTTGTTTGTTTGTTTGTTTGTTTGTTTTTTCCGTTACAAAACATGACGGAGTATTTTTATAAAAATACTTGGATTAGCCATCAGTACTCGCCAGAAACAAAACAACTTCTCATGAGTTAGGTGAGCCGACACGCTTTGCATTTAAAATTGCTTCTGTTTTTCGACTTTCCTATAAACCCGTCTGCGGGGATGACATTTACTTGACCCCGGTAAAACATCTTGGAAAAATTCTGAACAAAGAAATTCAGAAAGAAAATATCAAGTAACGTGTCGGTGCGATTCAGTATACGTATTTCGAATAGCCCGAGATACTTTGTTCGAAGACAAATATGCATGGCAACACCTCTTCGCGAGAAAGAAAGGCACTGCAGAGAATGGTCAATATGGCCCAGAAGGTCTCACCGAGATTAAACAGCTCTATGAGGACCGCTGCCGTGGTAGAATTCTGGCCATCACAGAGGACAGTCACC